GTTGTTAAAGCTGGTGGTGAGGACGTGGGATTCTTAGTTCTGTTCCTATAGTTTTTGTATTTAAAAATGTTTACAACAAAATATTTTTAAAAACTGGGACACGCCTGTATACTTCCCAATGATCACAAGTTGAATACTGGTTTCTATTACTTGGAGTTATTATCATAATTAATTTATACTATATAATTTAATTATATATGTTATAAAATATGAGTGTAAAAAATAGAATTTCTTCTATGAAAATTAAGATGCTTTAGAAAGTTGATTTTTGAAAAAAAAAAGTAACAATAAGATTTGGAGAAGGCAAATTTGAAAGGCTTGAATAACATCATAAAGATCTAGAAGGGTTTTGTACTCAAAATTTCTGCACAAATGCATTTAATCTCCTGGATCACTTTAAGACAATCAAATCTGAAATTTGAGATGAGATAGAGTGGGTCAGACTTAGGCAAGAAGGATAACGCAGGACTCAAATTCTCCTCAAGTGATTGGTGATCAAAAACAATGTGAATTTGAGCGAAGAGTTTAGGGAGATAGGATGTGTGTAAGTTGTCACTTGGACGTAACATGGACATTAGCTTATTGCAGGAGGTGACAGACTGAGGGAAATGAAGAGATGGCACAATGAGTGGTGTGGGTAGAGGGATGAGGTCATTTGCCCTTCCAAGTAGGGACACTTTTGAGAGTAAATGTGGTACTATTCATAACCTTGCTGGCATAACAACCTAAGCTGGGAGAATTCTGAACCAAACTAGCGTGTTTGGCCACCCAGCAGAGGGAGACATGATCAGATCCCCAGGCATTTAAATTCATGGGGACAGCAGCTGCGCCTAACTAGAATGAAGTGCAGACATGAATGCCACTGAAACATGAAGCCCGGGAAGCAGACAGCTGGCATCAGCACAGGCGCTGGAAACACCTGGGTGGCAGGTGGTCTGGGTTAGATGTGGGGATGGGAGGATGCTCGCATGCCTTGGTAAGGTGAGAGGACCGGGGTTGGCCTCACTGTGTGTTAAGCGCTAGGAGGTGCACAAGGACACAAGGAGTCTGGGGACCTTAGTCCAGGAACTTTAGTTTTCTGTGTCCTGTCCCCAATGCCCTTGTTTCCATGGAGACATTCCTGTCTGCTCTTGTATAGCCAAGAAGTAAGAATGGTATTGAGGTTTTCATTCTATATCAGACACAGAAGTAGGGGTTTGTGTGCCCCCTTGCTCCTTCCCCTGTGCTCAGATCTCTGCAGAGTGGTGGTTCTCAATGGCTATGGTCAGAGTTCCTGTTTTGATGGTGATGGAGTCTGAATTCATTGGTGTAGGAAGAAACTAGGCATTGATGTTCTCTCAGCTGGGAGTGGGCACTGCTGATGTAGAGACACCTTGTCACCTTTTAGGCTTGGCTGGCTTTCAGACTGAAATAGTGTGCCTTTGTTTGCAAGGAAGGAAAGTAATGGTAAGCAGGAAAGAAAGCATTTTTAAAATTCACTTCCGTCCATAGACAATCAGAGGAACTAATGAAAATAATTGGGCAAGTGGGGGAAAGCCTTCTCTTCTGGTGAGACTTGGTCATAGACCACAAATAATGTCACCAGTATGCTACCAAAGACTCACTCGGCAGCCACATCAGGATCTAAAAGCTCTTCTAAAGGAACATGTTTTATAATGACAACATACTGAATAGTCTAGCAGAAAACCCAGGAGTAGGATTCAGAAGAGTGGGCTCTTCTGCATTGGCCAAGGAGTGCATCTGTGTTTCAGGTGAACCTGGACTGGCAGTCACTGGCATGCCTTGCAGAAGGGGCCAATTATGGGAGTGACACCCAAGTCTTGACTCCTAGACTTGAAATCTTGGAAGTAAGCAGCATGATTGAATATTGAGAATAATCAGCAAATGTGTATCAAAGGGGCTTTTGTTTGCTAGCTTTGATTTTTTAGGCTAGTGATTTAATATTATTATTTTAATTTGTAAATGTTATCCTAGGACAGTAGTGCTAAAGGAGCTTCAAGAAATTTGCAGCAGGCCACAGGATAGCAATTGTATCAACACAAAATTAATAGTAGTATGTTCCTTATGCTGTTAGCTTTAATAGTTAAGACGCCAAAGTTGATTCCATTCCACCCTCTAATGAATGTAAGCTTCTGGTTCAGGCTGCTTTGAGCTGCTGACCAAAGTCTGTTTATTTCCTGGAGACATTTAAAATTGTCTCTTTGATCAAACCATAGGATGACTTAAATGAAAAAGAATATATGATTCATGTGCAAGACCAGGACCCTTGCATTTAGCCCAGCAGTGGGGGCAATTGCCATCTGGAGACCTGAGCTTTCCCCTCGATGTGGCAATGGGTTTGGGGTTGCATTACACTTAAATAATCTCTCTCTTCCCTTTAGGTCAGTCTGGATTGTGTGGCTGTCTCCATTCTTTGCTTTTCTCTCTTCGTTTCTCTTGCTTCTCAAGAGCAATCTTTAAAATGACACATCACAAAAGGATTGGGTTAGGTACTGAGGACCACAACAATCTAGAGGAGGGAGATGGATTTCCTAGAGGAGGCACTGTCTCTCAGCAAGTGTCAGGGGGTGAATAGGAGTCTGTCAGTGAGAATATTCACCAGAAGGTGGAGGAAGCAGCGAGAGAAAGCGCAGGGAGAACAGGAGCTTATGGACCCGACTCTAGCAGGAATCTGCCTGCAGGAAGGAGCACTTTGAAGACTTTCAACCAGTTCACATTCACCCTGGTGTCACCAACTTGGGAGCATCTGTGTTTTCTGAGGATCAAAATGTACTCTTCTCAGCGGCTTCATCCATACCTGACATCTAGAAGCTGATTCTTCTTCCTCCTATCAGTGACCTTTCCAACTACTTCCAACTGCCAAAAACTTTGGGAAATTCTCTTTCAAAAGGGAGGGTGACACCTCTCTCTCTCTCTCTCTCTCTCTCTCTCTCTCTCTCTCTCTCTCTCTCCCCCTATCTCTCTCTCTCTCTCTCTCTCTCTCTCTGCCCCTGGGGTTTCTACTTTTTTTAGTAGGCTCTTTGCATGGGGCTGGATAAGGACATGAGAATAATATTCTACTTTTAACAGAAGAGATTCAGGTGCATGCTGTGGTACTTCAATGTTTCTTTCTAAAATCTCTTAGAAAAGGAAAAGAACCCTCTAGTTTAAAAGTATTTCCCTAATAGTGTGAGATGCATACATATCACAAAGATCTTGAACACACATAGAGATGCCATCCTTTAATTTCCCAACATTCTGATCTATAATTTAATCCTAATCATATTTTATACCACCTCATTTCCTGAATTCCTACATAAAATGAAAGAACTCTACATTTGATCAAAATAGCCCATGTTAACTTTTGTCTCTCATTGGCTAAATTCTTCGGAGAGCATATCGTTTAGTTCACATTTCAGTTCTGTCCTTTTCACTGGGAGTTCTGCATGGAACCGCACTCTCCACCTCCAGGGGCCTGGGCTTCTGTGATTTCTGTTGCTCTGGGCCCTTTGTACCTGTGAGGAAGAAGATGATAAACTGAGACCAGGAAGAACGCGTCAGCTAGAACTGAAACTCGGTTAGGCGCTGGATGATTTAGTTAACTTTATATTCTATCATCTCGATATTTTTCAAACAGCCATCCTAAAATTTCTTCAATTTATTCTATGAATTGAGCCTACATTTGCTATTTTCAAAATTGATGAGCTTGACAGAGCATTTTCAACATATCTTTTTTTTTCAGCTTTAATTGAAATCTTAGGGATACAGTACAGTTACATTCATTGTTGGGATCTTGTACCTCTGCATGACAAGTCTTGATTCTCATTTTTTCCCCTTACCTCTGCCCTACTTTCACCCCCTCCTCCCCTCCCCATCTACAAACACTTTATTTTCATCTTATCATTATCTCACATTTTTTCTTTTCCCTTATCTCTTTTTTCTTTTCCTTTCTCTTTTTCTTCTTCCCCTACCCATCCCACCTTCCCTACACCTTTAGCTCCTTTCTTCCCATTTCTAAATGTCAATAATCTTATAACATATCTTATCTTTATCCCGCTGTTAGCTGTTCCTCGCCTCCAAAAGAAACCATTCTGTCTTTTGACAGCAGGGAACAAGACCAGAGAAAGACAAATTAAAAGATGAATTATTTCTGTCTAATGTCTGATGACAAATCTGTGACCGAGAGCACAATGGATTTCATTGCCCTTTCATTCCTCCTCCTTGAGATAAGTAGAATTCTGTTGGCCTCCAGCAGTTAGGGATTTGGAGTATCTACCTCACTGGTACAGAGAAAGTAAATGACCTCATCTTTAAATTTCTTTGACAAATAATAGTTGTCCATATTTTGGGGGCACAGTGAGATAATTCAGTACATGTACACCTTGTGTAATGATCAGTGAGGGCATTAGTAGTTCCATCTCCAGAAACATGTATCATTTCTTTATGTTGGGTATCTTGAAATGCCCCCCTCCTAGGTCTTTTAAAATACACAGTAAAATGTTGTTAAATCCAGTGATTCTATTGGGCTGTGGAACACTGGAACTTATTCCTCTTACTTATTTGGTACTTATCATCTGTCCTCTTTCTGTCTCTCCTCCTCTTTTTTCCTCTAGTGATCCCTGTTCTACTCTCTACTTCTATAAAGTCAACTTTTTAAGGTTTCACAGATGAATAAAAATATGTGGTGTTTTTCTTTATCTGGCTTATATCACCAAACGTAATGCCTTCCAATTACTTCCATGTTGCAGCAAATGGCAGGATTTGGTTCTTTTTTAATGACTAAATGATATTCCATTGTGCTTATGTACAGCATAGTTTCTTTATTCATTCATCCATGGATAGACACTGTGGTTAATTCCACATCTTGGCTGTCAATTTGCCTTTGAAACCTCACAAACTCATGACTTCATATGCATTTAGTTTTAGCAACATTTGATCTTCTTCGGCATCTCTGGCTCATGTGGTTGAGGACACTGAGAAATAGGCTTAAGCAAATCTCTCTGTCATCTTCACTTCTACAGAAAGCAACCCCAAAGAAATACTCGCAGTTCAGCACCGATGTGGCCGAGGCCATTGCCTTCTTTGACTCCATCATTGATGAGCTTGAGACAGAAAGGCGGCCGCAGGCTGCCGAGGTGGACCCACCCAATGAAGATGTGGACTTCGACGGTGAGTGCTGTAGAGATGGCTGGGCCTGACTTCTCAGAATCCCACTTCGCTAATGAAAGGGAGCCCTTCACCTACACCCAGGCCCTGGCCCCTGTGCTTGTTCTCTTTGGGGACCTCTCGCTTCGGTTGTCCCTGCTGCCTCTGCTCCAGCCTACTCTCCAGCGTTTGGGGTTCTTGTTTGAACAAAAACTTCGGTGTGGTCCTTCTAAGAGAGCTGAGGCAGGTGGGGAACTGTTTTAAGACTCCATGTGGGAAGTGATAGACAGGTGCTTAAAGAAAGAGAATTGAAGGGGAGTGGTGCATAGTGGGGGACAGGGTTTCAGTCTGGTCACCTGAAAAGCTTTGGGCGATTGCTTATGTGTATATTCTTAATGCTATTGAATGGCACTCTTAAAAATAGTTACCATGGTTCAATTCATGTCACTCATCCTTCACCACAGTTCTTTAGAAAAGAAAGGGAATGGACCAGCTGTATTTGAAAATCCTGCTCTGACCCTACTTCCGCTAGGCAGGGAGTATTGGGTGGGGCAGGAGAGGCTGGGTGCCAGCCAAGGCTGGGTGGATCCGCGCAGAAGGAAGGAGGGTAAGGGCTGAAGTCTTGCTTCTGGCCTTATCCAAGGGTATTGCTGATGCCTTTCTTATGGGAAGTAAAGACCTCCACCATGGTCATGAGTTGAGCCCACTTTTAAATTCCAAGTTTGTCAAATTTTTTTCATCACTAACTTTCCCTCCCGTTCATTTTATTCAGGTGATGATTTTGTTGATTTTATTCAGGGGTTCAGTAGATGGCGGATACTAAGGTAACAGGTTTCATTGCCAAGATTACATACTTTTGACAGTTTTATGTAATACTGAAAGATTACATGCATATAAATTATTGTTCTGGCCTCAATAGATGTGTAGCTGTGAGGTCTGGGTTTTCAGATTGAGTTTTACACAACTGCACAGGTCACTCCTACTCCCTGAGCTCATTCCCCCCATGTGTCCACTGCCTCTCCCCCGTGCAGCCCCATCAGTCTCTGACAAAGGGTAACCATCCCAAGATGGGTGCCTAGGAAATCCAGGGTAGGGTGAAAAGATGGTAAAATTCACTGAGGATTCAAGGGTCATCCTTGCATAGTTGTAATCTAATGAAAATAGTTGTCATGGAATGACCATTTTTTTTGTGAAATAAACAATAACAATGTTCTTTGTAATTTAGATCAAACAACATTCTAAAGTGTAAAGAAGAAAGTAAAAATATATGCTCTTATCACTCAGAGAAAACCATTAGCACATAACTTTTCAAAAGTGTTTTTAGCACACATGTGCACATACACAGACACTTTATTTTGTTAACAAAAATAGGATCTCTTCTCACTTACAGTATTTGTTATATGTTGGATATCTTTCCAACTCATAAAAACAAATCTTCGTCCTTTTTGTTTTTGTTTGTTTTTTTGTTTTAGCAGTTATGGGGGTTGGACCCAGGGGTTACACTACCACTAAGCTGCAGCCCCAGCCTTATTTTATTTTAATTTTGAAACAGAATCTTAAACTGTGATCCCGTGCCTCAGACCGCAGAGTGGTGAGGATCACAGACATGTGCCACCATGCTCCGCTCTGTTCTCTCTTTTAACACACACACTGTTTCATTCCATCCTGCACGATAACTTTGGAGTCAGATCTCCCTTGCTTGGCCATCCAGGCCCTTCCAATAATTCACTGTTGTGAACACAGCTATGTCTACCCATTTGCTGTGAGTGTGTGGTCCGCCCCTCCTTTGCCTTCTACTGACAGCATGACCTCCTTTCAGTGTCACCTGCCTCTCTTCCAGTGGCCACCAGCTCTCGGGAGCACAGCCTGCATTCCAACTGGATCCTGAGGGCACCGCGCAGATACTCCGAGAACATCGCAGTGCACACTGTGCACACCCCGGACAGCCAGTTTCAGAGGAGCACAGAGCACAGGACCATAGGCACTCAGAGGCGACTGGAGAGGCACCCCATTTACTTGCCCAAGGCTGTGGAAGGAGCATTCAACACCCTGAAATTTAAGCCTAAAGCCTGCAAAAAAGAGTAAGTGCTTAGGCTAATAACAAAACCAAGATGTTTTCTTAGCCTCCAGACTCCCGGGGTGGTCCTTCAGGTGTGTTGAGTCCTTATGCTACGTACCAAGATTATTCTATGTATTTTAGGGTAGGGGAGAGGGTGTGGTTCACTTTCGTTTTGGTAGTCTGTCTCCACTCTAGCCTGATTCACTGCTGTTACTGCTTGGGTTTTGCTCCAGCCCTGTAGCTAACTCTCTTTCTCCCTGGCCTATTTGGCTCACATGCTTGGACCATCTGCTGTCGTCCAGGGACACTGACACATTGTGTGCCATAGATTTTTAATGAGAATTTGGGGTTGAATAGAGCAAGAAGAAAGCAATAACAAACTAATGATACTGCTGTTGGGTCAGCTGCCACCACCTCTTGTGGTCCCCCCTCCAGACTCTCCTAGGACTAGTTACGGTCACTGAGTCCTACAGGTCTGTAGTTTATGTGTGCAGAGCATGAAGTTGGCCTGTGGAGACTGGATCAGGCTTTTTCTTTGAATCTATGAAAGGCACTCAGCTATGATGGAATCAGGGATTCCTACTAGCATTTTCCTCTTACAATAATAAATCAAGTACTGGGCATAGTAAATCTCCGACTCCACACTTGTCACCTATCCTCCTCCCCCAAGCCAGGCTGAAGCCCACCTTCAACCCCAGCTCCCCGTGAGAACCCGGCTTGGTCCTCTCATGGCTCAGGACTGTTGCGCTGCCCAGGCACATTAATGATCCAGGCATCCCTTCCTCTGTGCTGCTAGCCAACCTGGATTTAAATTCTCTGTTTCATTCCATCCTTCCAGCCTGGGGAGCTCCAGACAGATCCTCTTCAATTTTTCAGGAGAAGACATGGACTGGGACGCAGAGCTATTTGCGCTGGAGTCCCTGGCATCTCTGGAAGAGAACTACTGTGAGACGGAGAGCCCCAAAGGGCAGTGGCTGCTTCGAGAGCGACTGTGGGAGCGAACAGTGCCCTGACCCCATTCCATGACTTGTCTCAGGCTACTCCCTGAGCAGATATCTGCTGTCAGTGCAGCATGAGGCATTTGGTAGAGTTAAAATGGAAATTGTTAACACAAACTTCTTTGCACACTGCCTGTTGGTGCCCTGCTAGTGCCAAACAGACCTGTGGCTTCCCAGAAGACATGTCTCATCAGAGCCTGGGTATCCCTGCATGCTGGGTGGGTAAGCAGGGAGGCAGAGGACCCATGTTAGGCTCAGTAGGAGAAAGGAACTCAGCCATGGAGCTTTGGGCCAAAGTTTTCAAGAAGGTAGCACCTGTTTCCCCTGTTTCCATGGGGCTCAGAGGTTCTGTGGTGGCTTCATTTTATGCAGAATGCAGTAGAGAAAGCAGCTCCTTTTCAAGCCTTTCAAGGCTGGCCTTGAACTCTCAGCAATCCTCCTGCCTCAGTCTCCCAAGTCCTGGGACTACAGACATGGACCATTGGCTTCCATTCTACTATTTTTTTTTCCTGGAATTTTCTTGTACAGCAATTACCTGAGGGGCATGGGGGTGGGTGGAAGAGGTGATAGATAAGGAGAAGTCAATCAAATCAAGCCAAGGATGCTCCAGGCCAAGTTTTTTTTTTTTTTTTTTTTTTTTTTTTT